TCCTCTTCTTTTCCAAAGTTTGAAAAAGTCCAACCACATTATCCAGAGCTTCCAAGTCATCTTCTCCTACTATTGTTCAAAGATTAGTTTAGGCCATGTTTTTGCTGTTGCTGTTTGTTTTTAACTCTTATGTCAACTGAGTTGCCTATTCTGTAGTTTACCACATTCACAGATAATTTCATTTATAGTCATTTTGGATCCTATCTAGAAAACCATTTTTCTGGGCACTGGTAGCTCATGTCTATAATCTTAGCTACTCAGGAGACTGAGATCTGAGGATTGAGGTTCAAAGCCAGCCTAGGCAGGAATGTCTTTGATACTCTTATTTCCAATTAACCACCGGAAAACTGGAAGTGGTGCTGTGGCTCAAGTGGTAGAGTGCTCACCTTGAACTCAAAAGCACAGGGACAGTGTCCAGGCCTAGAGTTCAAGACTCACAGCTCAGATAAGTTGATGTTAGGGAAATGAACCCTAAGATATTACTCTTATTTCCAATTAACCAACGGAAAACTGGAAGTGGTGCTGTGGCTCAAGTGGTAGAGTGCTCACCTTGAACTCAAAAGCACAGGGACAGTGTCCAGGCCTAGAGTTCAAGACTCACAGCTCAGATAAGTTGATGTTAGGGAAATGAACCCTAAGATATGTATTCAAATGTTTTGTTCTTTCATGCAATTGTTTCTAACACATTTATAAGATTATTTCTTTGTTGCTTTGTATGTCCCTCCCCCACGGTATAACCCCTGCTTTCACTGTATTTGATGTTGGTATAATTTGTAGAGGGGAAGGGGAAAAACAAATCGTTTAAATAGGGGTACAGGTGGACCCATTGCAACAATGAGATGTACAAGTTGTTATGTTGAAAACGAACTTTACAACTTTGGTGGTGGTGGGGGAGGAGGATTGGGGGGTGGGGTGGGGGGGAGGATGGGAAGGGATGGGAAGGGGAAACAAAGGAGGAGACTACAATGCTTGATAAGAAATGTACTCATTATCTTGCCTATGTAATTGTAACCCCTCTCTACAGTATTTTCACAATAAAAAAAAAAGAAAAAAGAAAACCATTTTATATAGACTTTTTATAGATGTGCAGTTGGGATGGATTTTTGGAACAATCCTTATTTTGAGTGTGAAAAAGAAAAGCACATTAGTGACAATCATGACCCACACTGGTAATATCTTGGGAGGGGGAGGGTGGGAATGGCACTTATATAGGAAGCTCTCAAAATTTGTTCATAAAAAGCTATTTTATTTTCTCCCTAAATCTTATCTTCAAAACAGAGAAAAATCACCTGATTTTCCTTCACCAAAATTCATTGTTACACTTTTTTTTTCTCAAAAGAAGGAATATATGAGGAAACCCGAGCGCTTTAGCATTAAATGCCACTGGGTTTCATTACACATCTGATAGCCACAGGGAACAAAGAGGTATTTTTTTGAGTTTTCATAGCTTTCCTGATTAACTCACCTCCATTTCTCAGAAAATAAACCTTATCTCCACAGTTATCAGGTGACTATATTGATGACTCTGTCACACAGAATGTCATTATCTATAAAAAATTAATAGTCCTATTGGTAAGCTCTACTGCATGACTGAGTTATGAATGATATTTATATACAGATGTAGATTGAATCAATGCAGTTTAGAAGTTCAGAGTCTAGAATTCTGGTCCAAATGACCTGAGTGTGCCTCCTAGCTCTGCCATTTACTATGAGAACTTAGGCAAAATATTTAATTTCTTGATGATTTTTTATCCTCAGATAAGATGGATATAATAATAATACTTTTACTGCCTGGTGATTTTGAAGTGGACATATAAATGGTTTGGTGCTGACCAAACAATTCAACAAATATGGAATTTACAGGCTGGTGTGTAGTGCAGAAGCAGTTAACATTTTTTTTTTTCCCCCGCTGGTCATGGGGCCTGAACTTGGGTCTGGGCGCTGTCCTTCAGCTCTTCAGTTCAAGGCTAGTGCTCTACCACTTGAGCCACAACACCACTTCCAGCTTTTTCTGCGTATGTGGTGCTGAGGAATCATACCCAGGGCCTCATGCATGCAAGGCAAGCACTTTACTACTGACCTTCCCAGCCCCAGTAACTTATTTTTTTAAGTTAGAACTGAACTAAGGCATAATTTAGAACATGTGGTACTTTCTGTAAATTGAAATGATAGGAAAGTATTTTTCTTAACATTTTAATTAATTCTTTTAATTTAATTAGTTTTAGTCTCTAGGGATAGTGAAAATAGAGCATATACATTTACTATTGAAAGCTAGTTCATTGTACATGTAAAATTATGTATCAAATATTTACGACAGGAAGTGGCGCTGTAGCTCAAGTGGTAGAGCGCTCGCCTTGAGCTGAAGAGCTGAGGGACAGCGCCCAGGCCCAGAGTTCAAGCCCCACGACCGACAAAAAAAAAAAAAAATATTTACGACAAGCTACAGTACAGAACACGATGCTTGAATACCCACATTATTACACCCCCAAGGGCACGAATCAATGTGTATGCATGCTTGCCTACAAGTGTGTATGTGGGTATTTACGTTCTTGAAATTATTCTACCTGAAAACCCAAGATCATTGCAAATAAGAAAAACCATGGGAAAAAAACAAATCATATCATCAAACATCCTGATGCAAAAGTGAAATTAAATGAACCAGGAACATTTTAACTTAGAATAGTAATATTTGCTTCAATGAATTTCAACTATGAAGTCGAGAGTACCTTAGGTATGAAGATCATAGATGAATTTAACAGATATGTAGTTCTAGTTCAATTATGAATAAGAACAATGTGAAGAGCATTAATGAAAATGGAAGTTCTGCTTTATTTTGATTGGAGTTTTCAGTGCTCAAGTATCTTTAACAACTCAAGGAAAATACTCCAAATTATAGGTTAGCACAATTGAATAAGAAATTCTGCTATTCAGAACTTCCAGAAACACAAAACCTACTAATACCTAGCAAATGATTAAATAAAAATGATTGTCTTAGTAATGACATATTCTAACAATGAAGAGCCATATGTTGCGTAAAACTTTATAGCTCAGAAAGGCAGATGACAATGTCCTGATTTTCACTGTTTTTTTTAAACTGGGGCCAGATAAAAATAAAATGAGATGTCTAACATGACTATTAAGTATGTAAATGACAAAAATAAGATAAAGAATTTAAATAAGCCTCATATATACATCTATGTGCATGTGTGTGCTAAAAGGCAGAAGAAAATTAATATTGCAAAGTATTCTCTTATTTCAATTCTTAAGTTGAAAAATTTGCTTCATATATACTTATTTCACTGAATTATTTAAGTGTTGGCTAGGATTATATATATGGCCAGTACTGAGTTACCCCACACTGAATAAGACTGTAGCTTCAGTTAGGAAAAAAATTGAATAGCTTTAATTTTATATATTAATACACTTTTTATGGTATGTTATCAGGGGCTATCTATGCATACTCAACATGGTGTTTAGGAAAAATCTGTATCTAAACTCCAGATTTGGAAGGTCAGTCTTCACCAGAAGATTTTTTTTGATTATAACAAATGATATAGTTTATTCTTTTCAATTTTGTATGCACATATTACATTTTTTTTTTTGCCAGTCATGGGGTGGGTCTGAACTCTGGGCCTGGGCGCTGTCCCTCAGCTCTTCAGCTCAAGGCGAGCACTCTACCACTTGAGCCACATGCCACTTCTGGCTTTTTTCTTTTTGCTTATGTGGTGCTAAGGAATTGAACCCAGGGCCTCATGCATGCAAGTGCTCTACCACTGAGCAACCTTCCAAGCCCCAATATTACATATTTTTATATAAGAGTGACATAAATATTTTGCATCAATGGCATAATATAATGCCCTAAATCTCACTTTAAGATTGTCTCCTTGCTACCCTAAACAGTTAGGATCTAGAAAAGAATTATCTCTACCATAAACCATTTAACCTGTGCAGCTCTAGATCAGTTTAAAAAACACCTTCCTCAGTATGTACAAATAGGAATTGGTATATAAAATGGTATTTTTCTTCTTGTTTATATGCTTGGTTAAAGCAGTAGTGTTATAGAGAAGGGTTATAGAAATACAGAGTTCAAAGTAAATGTTACATATATTAATACCAATTAAGATAATTCTCGATAGGTCATGTTTTCTTTCTGTGTTAAAAATAGACAGCTTTTGACAATCCTGACTTTGTAGGGCCTTTGTATCATCCTGGTCATACTGCTGTTAGCTTTGTTTGGTTCTGTTTGCTAACATCTCAGCTATTCTTTCTGTGTTGTAGAGGTCATCCCAGAAAACCTTTCTCTTCAGCAACCATACTTCTGAAAGTGTTTGACTCTTCAATAGATCCAAATACGCAAACCAAGTATCCTTCATGCAACAGAAGCAATGGGAATAGCTACTTGACCATACCTGCTATCGTTCCACCATTAATAACATGACCTTAAAGCCTTCTATTTCCATATGCTGGGTATAATACTACCCTGACACACAGTCTGTTTCATAATGAGGTACAATTCTGGTCATTTATTCTATTCTATCTCTTCTAATCACTATGGTCACCCAGATTAAATTTTCTTTTCATATCTAGAGGTCAGAAAAGTCAGTGTTTAATTTTTTGTGATCATGATCAAGAACATTATATATAATTAGACAAAAATGGCAATCTGGTTCTGCATCATTTGATTTCCAAAAATGCTCTATCTAATGGACCAGAGTCCAACTTATTAAACTATGCCCATCTTACTTTTATTCAAACAACAGTGATATAAAAATATCCTTTGGAATTTTATAGTTATACAATTTAACCCTTATTATATTAGATAAACATTAAACATAGAAAGAATATTGTTTTGCCAACTCAGATTATCTTCAGTTAATACATTCTATTTGGTTTTTCTTTGAGGCTCACTTTCTATTACTGTAAACACAGGATTGGCTCTTAGTAATTTCACCTTTGATATTCGAAATGCAGTTAAGAAAAATCTTTCATACATTACTTACTTGTTTAAGCTTCTTTAAGTCTTCATCAAGTTCTAAGTTGTCCAAAATAACAGCCACAAACAAACTCAGGAGAATCTATAAAATGGTTAAATAACAATGAAAAAGAAACCCCACATGCATTAAATATCCAAATAATTTATTTAATAGAAAATATCCTGCTAAGATATAGTGCACATAGAATTCATAACATGAGATACAAATATTCAGTGTGAGTCATGTTATCAGCGAACACATGAAAAGAAATATATATGCTAACTGAAATAAACCAGATGAATATTAATGTGCTTCACGATGCCAATTTATAAAGGAAATAAATAAAAGATATTTTTAGTAATTTCACAAACCCGCTGCAAAGACTATGTGCTCAGAAAATGTTCTGAAGTTTTAATAAAAATGCTTAATATGCAAAAGTGCTTGTTCTAGGGTTATTTGCAATCACAAAATACTGGCAATCATATCCAATCTTGAATGAGTAGTTGATACCCATCTAGAGAGATACTTTTTGGTATTGTTGTTGTTGTTGTTCGTGGGGCTTGAACTCTGGGCCTGGGCAATGTCACTGAGATCTTCAGTTCAAGTTTAGCACTCTACCACTTGAGACTCAGCACCATTTCCAGTTTTCTGGTGGTTAATTGGAGATAAACAGCCTCACAGACTTTCCTGCTTTGAACTTTGATCCTCAGATCTCAGCCTCCTGAATAGCTGGGATTACAGGTGTGAACCACCTGCTTAGAGAACTACATTTTAAGCTTTATGTAGCCACTAAACATTTCCATTATAGTGGGTCCAAGATGGCCTTCACTGTTCCTCTTGGCTGCTGAGGTCCTTTCCTGGTGGGGGGTCCCACACTGATTATACATAGCCAGTTAAGTTCAGGAAAAGGTAGACTGCATCATACAAGGTGTGGTAATAAAAGACAATGTGGCCTTTACTCTCCTCTCTCTTGGATTGTCTGTTCTAGAAGAAGCCAGGTGTCATTTTGTGAGACACATGAAAAGACCCATGGAGTGGTGACCTGGGGCTTCCTGCTGGCAGCCTGAAGACACTGAAGTCTCCTTCCAGCAGTCATGTGAGCAACTCATCTTGGAAATAGATAGTCTCAGCCCAAGAATAGCTTCCAGGCCATGGTGGACATACCTTGAGTATAATTTTTAGAGACTACACCTGCTCAGGAAACCTGGTCCCAGATGGCTGACTCACAGAATCGACTTGGGATAAGTAAGACTAATTTATTACCAAACTCCTTACATAGGACTAGATGACCAGTGCTATGAAATTTTATAGTAACAATATTGAAAACTGCTTCTATAACAATAGTAAGATTACATATGGCAGAAGTCTAGCTATCTATAAAAAGGAATGATGGAGAATATACTAGAAGGAGATATTTTACAAATGCTAATGTGCCATTTGTGTGGTGAATAATGAGTTTTCCCCCTTTCTATAATATATCCTAAGCTGAAAAAGATAAATATTTCTTTTCAAACAGGTATATATTGATAAAGAAAAAGAATGTAACTGTATAGTTATACCAAAATATTTTAATTTCTAGTTCTCCTTTAATTTGGAATTTGTTATTATCTCTTGCAGTCCTGTTTTATAGCTTCAATTTCATTCTTAACCAATTATTTCCATTTTTTTATTATTAGGTAGTTGAGCACGAAGGTTAGGAAATTGAGGCAAACTTGACCTTGGTTTTCAGTACCTTCTAGAGAGATTGTTCTGTGGAAGTTAATGGCAGCTTTCCTTCAGGTTTAAAGAGTATATAATGAGGAAATTGTGACAGGATACACTTGGCTGGTGTTAGTATCAGTCCTTATTTTATTTTATTTTATTGTAAGGGTGATGCATAGAGGGGTGACAGTTACATAAGTAAGGTAATGAGTACATTTCTTGTTACCCCCTCCCACATTTTCTCCCACTTTCCCTCCCCTTGGACTCCCTCCCCCTCAAGTTGTAAAGCTCATTTCCAACATAGTGTCTTGTGAGTATGGCTGTCATATAGTTATGTTCTTTCTTTGACCTTTGTCTCACCATTGTGTTATTCTCCTTCCCTTCCCCAAATCAGATAAACATATATACCAGATGCAGGGTACCACAATCAAAACCAGTGACAAAGTGTCATTGGGGATCCTACTAGAATGTGTAAAAGATGCAGAATGGCCCAGAAATGGGCTTTCTCCTGACATGACCTGTCCTGCTCTGCCTCTGACAGGTGACCATCAGTCTTACCCCGTTGGTTTTGTTTGGTGTGGTGTTGTCTCTGATGCTGTTGTGTAATGCCTATGATGCAGGTGTGTCAAACTGGTTCACTGAAATAGTAACTGGACAGTGTAAAGTGCAATTTGGAAAATGGTGGTTAGATAACAGAATGATTGCTTTCCTACATTTGAAAACAAACAGTGGATTATATATTGTTCTCAGAGAAGAAGACTAGAGACTGAGGTGGGATTCTTCCTGCATTTTCTCCTTATCATGGCAGATTCAGTTTGACTTTCACAGTTAGATAAGAGAAGGCACATTTTGTAAGGGAACAGCTTTGGCTTTTCTAAGGAAAATGTAGATGGTTATTTGTTAGAGGGAACCCCAAACATGCAGGACTGAGAACAAAATGTTGAGGGGAGGTTAATGAAGAACAAATTTAAGATTGGGAAAAAAAGCCATTAAGCTAGCACGAACCCTAATTTCATTCACTGAAGATGTCTGTGTTTAGGTTTCATTGTTCAACAGATAACCTGATCTCAAAACCACAGACATGATTTATGTGGATTCATAGCTTGAGGTTCCTCCCCACGTGCTATTTGGGCATGGACTTCTAGCTGCATCTTTGTCTTCGTGTCCCCAGCATAAGGCACCGTGGTAAGGCGGGGACTTGGCACCTGGGGTGAGAGCTAATGGCTCAGCTCTTTGGAATGGAAATGGAAATTAGTGAGACCAGAGTGAGTCTGCAGCTGATTATGAGGTGGTGGAAATTACTTTGTAGGTTTGTTTTTGGAGACTCTAATGAGACAGTAACCATCGTGACTAAGAACTAGAGGTGAGAGAAGGCAAGCAGCTTGGATTCAGTTGTATCTCATCTACCTTGTTAGTGATATATTATTTTCCTCTAAAGTCAGGGTGGAATTGGACGGAGGGAGCAGGCTGGCCTGGTATCTGCGGTTTACCAACACATGGCGTCCTTAGTCATGAGAATGCCTGACAAGTCCTCACTGGGAAAGTGAGACTCACTCTTCACGTCTCTGGGCATTTCTGTTTGTTGTTCTGTTTTTATATAAAATTGAGGGAATACTCATTAATAATCTAGATCCATGACACTAGCTTGGAGCTTGCTTTCATTCATTGACCCGGGTGCTGTGCTAAAAGGTTTTCCATGGCTGTTTTGGGTGGCTTACAGGTTTAGCTTAAAATACTATTGATATAATAACGATTATTTAACAGGGACTTGCCCCACTAAGTCATTAGAGTTTACTTGTGTACATGAAATACTTTTATATGCTGGCAGTGCTACCTTCTGTAATTGATAGCTGTAAATTATGTAACTCTCTCTCTTTTCCTTCTTTCCTTTTGTCTTTCCTTCCTTCCATCTATCCATCCTTTCTTTTGAACTCAGGGCCTCCTACTTGCTCAGTAGGAGCTCTATCATTAGGGCCACTCTCCAAGGACCCCTTGAAGGCTTAAAAGTCTTACATGTTAGAATTCTTATGAATGTTGTAACATCATTTGTGAAATTTCAAAAGTGAAATTTTCAGTGTCAATATGGCTTCTGCCTTGCTATCTCCCAGGTGTTTGGTTACTGTCCTGTCTCTTATGATTTTTTCTCTTTCTTTTACTTTTCACACCATTCTGAAAGTGCACAGATTCACCTGATCTAAGTGTTTGCTAGGCATCACACAGGTATTAAACATAGAGTTGTTTTTCTGACCTTTATACATAAATACATTTTAGTTACATAAATGACTAACATCGTTCTGTTTCCAAGTTTATTTCCTCAGTCACTCTTTTTGATCCACCATGGCTCTCCTCTATATAGAAGACTCATTAAGAGCTGAGTGCCAGTGTCTCATGCCAAACCAAGCAGAAAAGTCCTGGAGAAATCTTAACTAGCCAGCAAAAAATGGGAAGTGAAGCTGTGGCTCAAATGGTAGAGTGCTAGCTTTGAAAGAAAAAGCCATGAGAGACTGTAAGGCTCTGGATCAAAGCACTAGTACAGGCACCAGAAAAGAAAGAAAAGGAAAGGAAAACAACAACAACAAAAACAATAACAACAATAACAAAGACTGTCATTGGGACTAGAACGATTCAGATGGCTGAAAAGTATATCTTTTTAAGTGGACAGCCTCATCACTTGGAATGGATTTATTTGGTTAATAGTTTTTATCACTATAGTAACACATTCTATTTTGATTTCTTTTTAACTCTAGATGTCATGTAGTCTTAACCTTATCCTATCTATTGTTCCCTTTTTCTTTTCTTTCCCTGAAGCTGAGTTTTATTCCTTTATCTTTTAGATAGCTTATAGCTGGCTCTTTAGCTAAAATGCTACCCTTCCTATCTTTAAATTATTTTCAAGTATGCAGTAAAAACACAGCAGGAGTCAAATTAATATCCTCCATTCTTTCATTTCTCTCTCTTTTCTCTCTCTCTCTTAACATTTATAAGAAGGCCATCTTAAGCTGTCTTACAGACTGTACTATGAAACCATTCCTTTTTTATACGGGTCAACAAAAAGTCAAATGTAATCAGAGCAATGTAAAATGGGATCCATTCCGTGCAGACGCACTTTTAAATGAATTCTATAAAATCAAGTTATTTAATTTACACTTTGGAATGCACATTTCTATCAGCAAAATGTGACTGTTCTCAGCAAGCTGCTGCTACCAAGGCAGAATCAAGAAATGGCTGTGCTAATTTCAGCACTTCAAAGGTAACAAAAAGACCATCTACAATAAATGCTTAATTACATTTTCTCCCCTTTCTGTATTCACATCACAGGTTTTCCTTTGAGACATTAATAAAGGGAGAGACACCAAAGAGGGAGAAATAGATCTCTTCTCCAGTCACACATCCCCCTTTCCCTACCTCCAAATCTCCGGCAAAAGTGATAGAAAGGATAAATTCCACAAGCATTTGGGAAAGCGCAATCAACAGGAGCAGAAATACAGAGTACATACGTGCAGAATGGAGATTTTAAATGGATAATAGATAATCATTATGAATATGCATTTGCTATATACTTGAGCTTGACTTTCATTGTGAGCTGACAAATTGGTGCCCTCAGGAGTGATAAAACTGCCTGCTGTTTCTTATTCCAGGACAATCTGCAGGCTAAACTTTTTTTTCCCCCTGTTGTTGTTGTTGTTGTTTGGCACCTGCCTGTTTCTGACATGACTACATCAGAAACTCACCGGGTTGCATAGCACTGCATGTGAGCATGGATGAAAGGCACATTACAGGTTGTATATTTATGTAGATTTCCCCAAATTTGAGTTCAGATGTTTTGAAATATGTTACAAATAGAAACATAAAACTGAATAAAAATTCTCACTTCAAGCCTACAGACAGATTTATGGAATAGCGATTTGAACCTGAAACATGCTTTTCGTGTTAGAGTCCTGTGATGTGTCTATAATATAGGCCTAACCCCTTCAAGCAGAATATTGGCATATACAACTGGGTGCAATGGCTTGGGGCTGTAATCCCAGCTACTTGGGAATGACAGTTTGAGGTCAACCTGGGTAAAAGCAGTACATGAGAAGCCAGGTGCTGGTGGCTCACACCTATAATCCTAGATACTCAGAAGGCTGAAATCTGAGGATTATGATTCCAAACCAGCTGGGGCAGGAAAATTCTTGAGAGTCTTATTTCCAATTAACCTCCAGAAAACCGGAAGTGGCCTGTGACTCAACATAGTAGAACACTAGTCTTGTGCACAAAAGCTCAGGGACAGCACCCAGGCCCTGAGTTCAAGCTAAACCAACAAATGACTAACAACAATAACAACCAAAAAACATGCAGGAGATGACCATCTCAACCAAAAAAAAGCTTTTCCAACTACATAGGAAGCAGTGTAAATAGGAGAACCATGGTTTGGATTAACCTAGGCAGAAATAACAAAAATGAGATGCTCTAGGCAAGTGACTTCTGAGCTACTTGGCAGCCACTTAGCACCCCCAGGTGGTGAAGCACCTGCCCAGGATAAGCACAAGTCCCTGAGTTCAAAACCCAGTCCCACCAAAACCCAAATCCCAAACAGACCTCCAGCTGTTTTACGGATTATATTTTGAAGATTTCACAGCAGTTTAAGCTGAAAGAACCTGGAAGAAGCCATTTATTACTTGGGCACTGATTAAGAGTAGCAAGTACAAATATACAATACTCTCCACCCCCAACTTTAGTCACTTGTGCCTCTAGGCATAAGTCCTTCCTTGAGTGGTAAGAATTGCAATGTTTGGTGATGGGGTTGTATTGACTGGTGCTAATGCTTAACTAAATTGAACACTTTGGCCAAAATACAAGTTAACGCTTATACATGACAGTATAGGGATTCATGAACCAGAGGTCACCTGATATAGGCTGTTTATTTGTCAGCCTTTAAGGGTATACAGGGCAAGAAAGACAACTGCTCATCGTGTTTTATGTGAAATCTCAGTGAGATGTAGGTAGTGGCTAGAATTTGAGGTGATAGCCACGCCATACTCTTGATTTTCATTTAGTGACATAGTATTTTGTTTTACTAAAAAAATGCTTCTATTAAACAGTGTTAAAATGTTATGTAGGTAAAAATGTCAAATTAGTTTATCATTTGGTTTTAGGTTTAATAATGAGATAAATCCAATAAATACTCTAAACATTGAGATTGTCACTTAAATCTGAGTAAGAAAAATTGACTTAAATTCTATTTAAACCATTGATTTCTTCTAATTTGTACTATGAAGAAATTAAGCTAAGATGGGTCAAAGTGAGAAGAAAAAACTTTTTAATAGAAAGAATATGGAGAATATTTTTCTTGTGCAAGCATGTATAGCTCTAAAGGACCACTCAATGGCTTTAACTATATCAAAATGTGTGAAAAGACATCACACATGAGAATACTCAGAGAAGATACATGATACAGGGAGTAGTCAAAGGGCTGACATGGGTGACATGTGCATCACTCCTACAAATGAACTTAAAAACACAACCCAATTCATGGTGAGTCAGGAAAAGAACACTCCCTTAATAATTACTGAAGGGCAAAAATGCAGTTTTAGGAAAAATGATACACCTAAGCTCCTAAGCTTAGGTGTATCTAAGAAGTGCATTGGAATCTCAAAAGCCAAACAATATCAATAATAATTGAGACTGCAAGAGAACAGGAATCCTCATGACTCTATTGCTTCAGAGCTGAGTTGTTAGTACAGTTTTCCTGTACCGGGGGCCATGTGTCTGTGGTTAATACTCCGTGAAGATGTCAGTGCTTACTTAACCACTGAAATATGCAGAAATGGCTGGCTGTGATCTCAGCACTCAGGGGGCCAAGGCAGGATGTTTGAGGGCTTGTGGCCAACAAAGGCTACATAGACCCTGTCTCAAAAAGCCAATAAGTAAACAATAAAAATTAAAGTGCAGAAACCATCTGTAATGCACTGGCTATATGAATACAGGTGGCGGACTGAGTTTACTAGCTGGACCAGAAAACTTTGACAGAGAGATGTGATTCAGACTGAGGCATTGAACTTATGACACAGACTGCAGAGGACTTAGCCTTTGGGAAAGTCTATATATCCATCAGGGTAAACCAACAGAAGCTATCTAATCAAGAGCCTAGTATGTGGCCATATATACCAATGACTGTATTAGCTCCATGTGTATTGATGAAATGATCTTAAAACTAATATTTGATGAAAGATTTGTAGGATAGTCAATACATGACCAAATTCATTGTTTGCTCAGCCTGGTCATGTTGGTTACGTGGAAAGGCAGCTGTAACCAAGCACTTCTCAAACTAAAATATATTAACATGAATTTTCAAAATTTACAGTGTAAGATGTATGCAATCATAACTTTACATTTAAAATACTTCATATTTTAATAGATTTTATGTGTATGAGAAATCTCTGTATTTTATTGTTTGGAAACCACACATTTCTTTTTATATTTTAATGAGTCTGAAATAGATAGCAATGTACCTTGTCAAGAATTTGTACATTTTAATTATTGTCTTCCTTAGTGTTACATAAAATGAACTTTTCTAGAATTTATATATGTTAAATTGAGTGAAAAATAATTTTAAAACTGAAATATGGGCTCAAACTAAATTCATTGTAGCTTTTTCCTGGGAGAAGAAGTATACAGCAAAAAAAGAAAGAAGAGTAACAGGGAATTGGCGTAAAAGGGGCATAAATGACACATTAAACTGGTCAAGTATACTTTGCTTTATAAATGGAAAGTTTGTGAACTAATAGAATATAATTTTTACATTTGTTAGAATGTACTTTAAATATGCACAGCATCATTTTTAAAGTTAAAGAAACCTAATTCCATAAGCACCCAGCTTCTAGCTCAAACTTGTAACATAGCTTTTGAATACAGCTTGGATTAAATATAAAGTAATTACATGCAGATATAGATTTGGTCTTAGGAAGAACTAAGAATTACATTTCTTACTTGTCAGAATGTGTACAGTTTTTGTCTTTGATTTTAATATAAATACATTGAATGGAAAAATTTATATGACAGGAATCAGTTTTATGTGGATCTGGTATGCATTTTTTTGGTACTTTTATTATATTTTCAGCAATGTCTTATTTTCTCCCATGTGTTTCATTCACACATTGTACAAAACCCTGAACTGATTTCTAATTAAATGACTGCACCCTGAGGTCTGTAGCTTCTGTCCTTGGTGTAATTACAGCTGTGAAGAAGCAGCACTGAAATTGAAGACAGCATCTCTATACAACAAAGAAAGTAATCACGGAGTTCTAGTATGATCTGCAGATTATCTGGGTGTGAATATTTGAAGCTAGTTAAATAGGTGTGTGAATATGAGATTTCAGTTTTGTGTTGTTTTGTGTTCTCTCATGCAAACACTTGTAACTAAAAGAGACACTTCTGACTGAACAAGCAGTTCTTTGCCCTGTGCTCCGATTTGTGGAATTCAGAACTGCAGGGGTCTGATCCCCAATGGAATACTCAGTGTCCATCCTGCAGCTCTCAGTCAGAAATCAACAGCTTGCCAAACATCGGTTGATGCTAATCCATGAAGAATTTTCAGATATAATTGAAAAGAAATGTTAAAACTCACCAGAGTTGCAAAGAGATGGTAGAGAATGAAGTAGATGGCAACCACAGGTGCCCACATGTGTCCCACAGCATTTAGAGTCTGGTCCATTACGTCCACCCACCCTTCCTGGGTGAGGATCTGGAACATGGACATAAATGCCTAGGGAGGAGCAGAACAGAGGGATTACAATACCAGCTGGAGGTCTTTGGTTCTCCACTGAGAACCCTACTCTCAGTATGATTGACTCTTATCTGATTAATCAGGGGAAGAACAGTCTTAATGCATCCAATGAGAAATGTCTTAAAACATAGCATCTAACTCTTCTAAAAACCGAAAGAGTGATACTGATTTTAAAATGAGCCTTGGTGCTGGCAAATATTGTCGAGCATATTAGAAGAAAATTTAGAATCTTTATTTGCCTTTTTCTATTTTCTTCTTTCAATAAGAAAACGATTTCACATTCCCAGCAGATTTATTTGCTTTTGCTGCAGCTGTCAGGAGAAACTTATTATTTTATAGTGAATTACATTTGATTGTCTAAAACATATAAGAGAATAATAATGGCCTTAATTTTATTTTTATGGTACTCATTTATCAAGTTATTTCAGCTCTCATATTAAACATGTGACTCTTAAAAAGAAATATTTCTGAACAATGATGCCATGCTGTGCAACTTAACAAAGACACATTTTTTTCATGGTTTAAAAAATATCCAAGGCAGGATGAAATCTGCAGAAGAAGTCAAGACCAAAAAACATCCAGGATATTCCATAAAGAGGCGGTCAAGTTCAGAGTATCTACACTTTCTGCAAAAATCTTTGCCTGGGCCCATTCTAACATGGTTATATGAATACACACACACACACACACACACACACACACACACACACACACACACACACACACACACACACACATATACATCTTTGACTCATGTATCTTCTGTATCTTAGAGGTCAGTAAAAGCCTCTTAATAAGACTTTGTGATGATGGCTATAATATTTTTCCTAGTACTGGTGTTTGAATTCAGGGCTTTACATTCATTATATTGTTGCTGTACCATTTGAACCCAGCCAATTTTGCTTTCATAGACTTTAAATATAGTCTTTAACTACAGACTTTAGAGCTAGCCTGGACTTTGATCCTCTTGTTAACACTCCTGCACAGTTGGGACCACAAGGATCTATCTGCTGCTTTGCTTTTCATTGGTTGAGATGGGGTCTCTCTTATTTTTTGCCTGAACTTTTTTGGAATCACAGTTCTCCTGATCTTCACCTCCTCAGTAGCTAGATCACAGAAGCAAGCTATTGTCTGCAGCTAATAAATGCTTTGTGATGAGACTTTGTGATAATGTTTGGACAGCTGTAGTCTAGTGACTTCGCAAATGTAGTTTTTAATAGGCTTCAATGCAATGAAGACATCAAGTCAATTAAAGAATAAAATCCAGGATAACACAAAGAGACCAAGGCCAAGATAAAAGCCGTATTACAGTGATAGGGTCTTAGAGCCAAGAGGAAGGTAAGGAAACTGAGACTCAAGAATGAAAAGTGATTCTCCCAAATTCACTCAATTGTGAAACAAACAGAAGTAACAACCAGGCATTATGACTCCAAATAAGTAATTTTCTAAGTTAGATCTTGTGTTCGTTGAAGTTGTGGATCTACTTTTTCCAATCCTAATAACACAGTGGTCAGTCTTCATTTGATTTCCTTTACTAAGGTGATTAACTTTTTCAGAAGGGCAAATGTGGAGGGCATCACAGAAGCTCCTGAATAAAGGAACAATTAGCTGCTAAGTGAATGTTAACTCAGGAGCTATGTTCTCCCACTCATCTGTCTGCGGGAGGGAAGCGCTTCTCCTTGAGTGAGATTTTCTGTAATCTCATTATCTCCCAGCGTCCTTTGTTTGCAAGGAAGTGTGAATATGTTCTTACTGAGACCTGACCTCAGCATTACCAAGAATAATAGATGTTCCATGACTCGTGCTAATAGAAGGCCATTCTCCACAAAGATTACCTTCAACTCACTCTGAAAGTGCTATAGACATTTTTCCCAATACATCATTTAAGCTCTTAAAGAAGTATACAAGAACTAAGCACTAAGAACAATTACTTGTCCCTGCATTTTTTTTTATATATTACATCCAGCGTCAAGGAGCACAAATTCCAATTCACCTGAAAATATCAGATTGTTCTATCCTCTTCCACAAATGTGCAGTCAATGTGAAAATCTTTTTTTAATCAATATTTTTTACAGAACAAACTGACTCATGTGAATTAATGTTATTTAATAGCTCTAGAGATTTTCATATTAGTGATTTAGAGATTTTATATTGTAACTATTTCTTATTCTTCTCTTATACTTTCTTTTTTATTGTTATTGTAAAGGTGATGTACAGAGGGGTTACAATTACAAAAGTCACCATTTTTCCCTCATTTTCTCCAAGTTTTCCCTCCTAGCCCTCCTCCTCCAAATCGTGCATAGTTTACTTTCAACATAGTCAAAGTGAAAGTGTGTGTACACTCTAGATCCAATAGCAGTAGGTGAGCCATTACAGAGCCCACAAGTCGTTAAAGAATTTTATTTTCTTCTTCCCCAAAAGTAATGACAAAAGTTATGATTAAACACAAGAGATTGATTCTTGGTACCTGAAGACCAAACATTCAGCTCTTTCTTCTTAGACACCAATCAGCTTAATTTGTTTTAATGAACTGCTTCATCCCTAAGGAACCCTCAGCTAGTAGTGTGTTCAGTAAATGACAGGAATGTGGACTTGTATGACACATGAGGTTTTCTTTTTCCCTTAGATTCTATATATCTCTTGGTGGGAATTGCCTGAGATTATGGGATATCAGTATATTTTAAAGATATGCTCTCCACCTTTATTTCTTCTTAACTTGTTTCAGAAGATAACATTAGGTGATGATCTTAGGATGGTTCTTGGATTTCTTGTTTTCTTTCTGCCTCTTTCTATCTCTGCTTCTTCTCCTGCCACTCTCCATTCTTTCTGGTAGTTATTATTCAAATAAAATTGTATGATATTGTGGCTCTTCACTTGTTTGATTATATCTGTGTAATTTTTTTAGGTTGACTGTCATTTGTTCTATTAATTCCCTTAGACGTTAGCCAGGGGAGTTGTGATTTTGCTGTTTTACCCTTCAGTTCTCCATCTAATGGTGTAAACCAGTGCATGGAACACTGCTATTTGCTGTTATTTGTTACTTGCACTGTTTACACTTGCATTTTCCCTTTTAACATGTAATGAGATCCTCTTACGTTAAACACCACTGCACAGAGCTGTCCCTGTATGCCAAAGGTGCCTCCTCGGTTCTCAGGGAACTCAGGATGAGCAGTTTGGCTGAGTCTGCTTCAAGCTGTATATGGAGCCATCCTGAAAAAGCAACTCTGTGCTTCCAGGGAAGAACTAAATCAGCCAAAAAAACCACCAATGACTTTCAAATGGAAACTACAGAGGAAAATCACCTTGCTGTCAGTAGAATCTGGAGGTGAATGCATGAATGGTGATTGACCATGCATTTGACTATGAGCAACAGAAGGGAACTGCAGAATCATAGCATTAGTACACTCATGCTCCAACCCAAGGAGGCGCAAAGCTCTGAGCGAACAGAGGTTAAGAGATTGCCATGATATTCTCTGGAGAAGAAAGGTTGTGAGGATCATTAGCTTAGTGAGTTTCTGATTTTAATCAGAGGCCATATTCTTTGGATGGATGTGAGCAAGACAAAGAGCAAGAAGTCCAGAGTAGAAGGCACAAGCCACGGGAAGCATGCGAAGGCATGAGTGGACACTGCTGTGGCATCAGATGGTACACACCCCAACAGAGCCGGAGTCTCTGAACCAGTGACACAGATAAAGTACTGCAGCAAGACCCTTCCCTGTTTCTATGGCTGGTGTCTCCTCACTTCTCAATGTTAAGTGTCACAGAGCTCCAACACGATCCCAGAATCCTTTACTTTTCTCTCAACTATAGCCAGCTAGTTTATCCCATTCATTTTTAATGCCTTCAGACATGATCTCACTTGCATTTCCAGCTCTCCTTCCAGAACCCAGCCCATCTCTCCACTTGGACGTTTGCCAGGAATCACAAGCATTGCACATCTACATTTTTTACGCCCCTCTCCCAGCCCTGCCCTCCACTCCTGCCTCTCAGAACATAAAGACTCCCAATCTTCAAGTTATTAAGGCCAAGGAATTTTAGGACATTTTTGGCCTTTCTCATGTCATCCTCCACTGCATCTATCTTTCAGGAAATTCTGATTAACCCAACTCTCGTTTCTGATCCCAGTTTTGCATTTACCTGTGATATTCCTTTAATAGCATATCTGCAGCTGTTAATATGTTCCCCGATAGTTATTTTTACATGGTAGTGTAGCCTACATGTATAAACCAAGAGGAAGAGACTTAGATGGAAATAAGATCACCAAAGTGGAAGAAAGGGTACTGAGCAGTATTTTCATCACTTCTCTTGCTCCTAACATCCTTTAAACTCTAGTCATCGCTACATCGGATGGTGTCTCCTTATCCAGGCCACTGAAGCCAGGCCATCAGTGACAGGAAATCCTTTCCTCTGTCAGCCCCAAGAATTCATTTCGGACTCCAAATCTATCTGACAGACATTGTTACACTGAAAACAAAGCAAAGGTATTTATCCAAGCTGATAAAGTAAACATGTCTTAGACCTTTTAATATCATTCTTAGCTCCTTCAATAAATATCATGGATGACATTTGGAATTTGATGACCCATGCTTATTTTGATGGATATTAATGTAGAGTAAACATAGTCAAAAACTTAGAAAAACTAGAATGGGGAAGCATAGTAGCCTGTGGTCAATAGGTAGCAATATGTGCAGTGGGAGTGTGTTTGCAATTGACACACACTTTGTAACTGAAATCACATCCCATGTCACAGGGTCTATCCAAACAGTGGCAGGTATCAATACTTCCTTCCCTTTTATTGTCCAATAAAATTTCACTGTCAACATCTACTAAATGTTATCTTGTCATCTGTTTGGCTTATCTGTGCTGCTATCATAAATAATGCTGCTCTAAACATTCATATACAACTTGCTGTGTGATCATGTATCTTGTAAAAGTATTTTAAAAATGTTTTTATTGTTCATGTGGCAATACATGTAAAA